TCCCTCACCACCATTCACTGGGGAGGAACCGTCCTCCCTGCTTACGGAAGAAGTATGTTCAGCTTCAGGCCCGAATACCCCCGTTTGGGGGTTTGGAGCCCAGTACTTGTCAGGTTGGGGCGGGATCAAATCATCTGGAACAAAGCTAGGTCGAATCTGCTCCTCTGGGTTCTTGTCATAGATTGAGGTGTGAACAGGCCTCCTGAATATCAATACATACAAGCAAATGATCAACTATGTACATACTTGACCATTGGAAACGTACTCACAAAGATTATTCTAATAGCATAACGATTTGGTTATGTCATAAGATTCACGTCACTCAGATGTAAGATTTAATTGAGACAACATAATTGAGACAGTAGTTAAGTGCGCCTGATGGCTAATATTTATATTTCTAAGAAAAAGAAAACTAAAAGTAAAAGCACTTATTTCCCACTGTTGTTAATGACGTCCTAAAGCACGATTTCTTCCCAATATTAAACAAAACGCCACTTAAGAAAGGATGAACGAACCAATTAGAAATATACACAAAGGGTATGGAAGCGAATATAAAAACATTGCAGCTTAAGCTAGCATGTTTGAAAGACAGGGACAGGACAGACAGCTTTGCCTTACCACAAATGCACCATCTAGCCAGTTATTTTCAACTTTTCAAAGGATAACAATGCCCCCACAATCTTTTGTACTCTTTACCTGCTTACCAAACAAGTTGGGCATCGTTTTATCTTAATTAGATTCCCTAATGGCCAATGCATAAAAGGATTTGTTTAAGGGTAGGTATCGATGTCATGCCAACCATGATAGGTGTCACCCAAACAAGATATTCAAGTCACATGACCCCAACCCATGTTATTTAATAAAAGATAATGACCACCTACCTACTGACCCAACAATTTTTATATTCCAATGTTAATACATGTAAATATTATCACTTAGTATTACAATTTAATAATATTTCTATTTATGGGTATATAAGAGGTTTTAGGTTCAATTCTTACGAATTCGAACCACATTAATGCTAGTCCATTGTAAGGTTTAGCTTACTCTCCCACTTGCTTTGTAGATAATATCGTTTGTTTTCAAAAAAAAAAAAAAAAACAAACTAGTATGATATTGTATTTCTCACACTGCACTTCACCGGCCTATTGTCCTCAAGCAGGCATGCGAATAAGGTCATTCATACGTATAAATGAATTATAAGCCAAATATCCGACGAAAGAAAAATTGAAAATCTTCATGGTCAGAGTAAGCGGATTGGAAATGTTAATGTCAAAAGCTACCAAAAGTCCAGTTTGACCGCAGCATTCATATATCAAGAAATATCTGAGCCGCCCAAGTAGGCGACAAGTATGATACTGTGGACGGTGAATAATGTGAATAGTATTATGATTATCTTTTTAATATAAAAATATATATTTTTTTAATTAAAGTAAATAATATCGGAAACATTTCACAATTAACAGTGTCTGTATTTATGCACATGAGTAGAAAACAAAAGATATCGGAACCCAGAAACAAAAACAAAAACAGATTAGTCATACAATTGGATCTATCTCGAGAAGAAAGAAATAAAAACGATCTGAAATTGCAAATGCAAGCTAGGGACATAAAAATTTATAAGTTGATATTTCACCAAAAGATCCTGCCATGAAAAGGACACTAGATTTTAGGCATATGCACATCCACATGTCATTATTGAAAGTTAACGCTGCCACATAGATAATTTGAAAAACAAAACCACCCTATGATATAGATCCGCAAAAAATCTAAAGATTTCTTAATATAAAATATGAATTGTTATTGACACTCCAAAAATCTTATTCTACCCTCCAAACTTTCTATATTAGAAAAAAAATACACTTATGAGGAGCGTATAATAGATTTTTGAAGTGTCAATAACACTTCTATGTAGAATAAAATCTTTTCTGGATTCTTCCCGTCGTTCCGTTCAATCAAAAATTGAACGGTTAGGAATTAATTTCCTTTTTCACTGTTCATCTTCTTCCTCTTCTCACTCTCACTCTCCGACTCTCTTCTTCATCTCTCTCTCTGACTCTCTTCTCTCTCTATCTTCTCTCCTCCATCTCTCACCCCAGCTTGATCCAAAGGATCCGGATGGAAGGGATCCGGAAAGGATCTCAGTCCTCCAAATATGATCATCACCATAGTTAACTCCAAAAAAGAAACCCTAATCGTAATTATGTCGCTAAATAACCAAAAGTGACATCTTTTTCCTCTTATTGTATTAATGAACGGTGGAGATTGTCCAATGAGAATCCTAGTCAGTGGCGTGTCCTTATCGAAACCCCGCGGCAAGCGAGTACCACGGCTAACAGGCCCTTGGTACGAAAATGCCCATAAACATTATTTAACTTTGTTTCTAAACTTTTTTCTTTTCTTCCCTAAAAAAGATTAGTCATAAAACAATAAAATATCGATAAAAACGAAGCTGAAAATAGATCTAAAATTCTACCGTGCTTCCGAGCATCTTGTATTCCAAAGAATTTAATAGTTAGATCTTCGTCATCATATTTTTGATTAAATGATCTAACGGTTAAAAAGCCAGAACACGCAGAGGAGAATCTCACACCACAATCACCAAAAAGGAAGGGATATATTTCACAAGTCACACTTAATTAATCATATATTCTGTTTAGTAAATTTCAACTTTTTTTTGCAGAAATTAAAGCAAATTTTCCAAACGGTAAACTAGCGAAACAACTCAGATGATCAGATCGCAGCTTCTTCAACACGAAATTATTAACGAACAGATCAAAATTTCCTAGAAGTTAGAGAAATTAAACGCAAGTACAGACGCGAAAAAGCTCGAATCAAACGCAAAATGGATACCTGAGAGTGAGAGCAGAGAGCTGAGCTGAATCGCGCGTTCGGATCTCGTTGATAAGTCGCTTTCCCAAGCTCGCGATCCCTCGACTGCTCGAATTGGCGGCCATACAAGTAAAAGACTAAGCGCAAGTGTATAGAGAGAAAGACGGAGTGAGCGATCGTCGGCTTTTATGTGTAAAATGATTTGGATGAGGAGTCTGTCTTATATAGCGGAAGCCTGGGAGGTGGTGTCTAATATTTTACGTCCACCTGCCCCAGCAGACTCGCTTTTTTGTATGCCACCAACCCGCCCACCGTACTCTTTGCTAATTGCTAGTACGAAGCGGCGTCGTTCTCTTGAAGTGTTGGTTTGTTTTACGCGTCCAAGACGCGGACTTGGTCGAACATTCTCGCTTTAATGCTTTAACGCTGTTTTTTGGAGGCGTTTGTAATTATGTGGTGGCGTTTGGTCATTGGCTGGTGTTTTTACAGTTATAGAGTTCTGTCTTAAAACTATTTAGACACACAAAATCGACACTTTTAATAACACGCCCTCTTGTCTAAAATGATACTTTTTACCTCTATTAGATATTGTGTAATTTTTTTTTATTCTTAAAAAAAGGGACCAACTGATGGTTTCGCCACAACAGTCTACATTTTTTAGGGCAAAAGAGACTCACAAAGACATTTCAATTTCCCCTAACCCCATTGATGCTAAATGTATGAGTGCATATATTTGTACCACGTTTTGTGTATTTAGAACTCACATTTAACAGATACGTAATTAACAACGTGATTTGTATTATTGAGGTTCATAAGACATGGAGGTTGACATGTACACATGGTTAAATGAATTGTCGTTTGTACTAGCTGGTAATATCCATGTTCATGTAAATAATTATACTCATAATCATGTATTTATATAAACAGTTTTCTATAACTGTAATCATTAAGTTTAGTGCAATTACCTATCTCCGCAAATATTTTGTCAATTCTTATTTAAGCTCCAAAGTCCAGTGATCGTTATTGACTGCTAGTTGATTAACTATGGCTAACAACTCTACCAACAACCTCTCCACTTGAGTGAAATAGAATCTTTTTGTTCATGTATTTCTAAATCTCAAGTTTAATAATCACTTAATTATTAGAAAAACAAAAGGAATGCTAATTAACAATTGAAAGTCCTTTTTATGCTTAGATGGAACTCGAATATTCCCCTGTATATTAGGCAAGCATGGCATTATACCAAAACCCACATGTTTAGGCATTCATCATCAAGTCTTGAGTCTCTTACAAGTTTATAAAGAACTACTTAAAATATTATGTTTGCATGAATCTCGAGCTCAAAAATAAGCATATCTTTCACTTTTCTAACAAGTGTGCATGCCAAAAAAAAACTAAGAAGCAAAGATTTTATGGTTCTCACAAATGTGACCAATTGTTAAGTGAAATTAACCAAAAAATGGTCCATTCTTTTGTTACTAGTACCGTACAACCAAGTAATCACGAGTGTCGAACGCTAGAATTTATTGGGCACCAAAACAAACAAACATATGGAGTAAAAAGGGTGTTACTTAATTATGCATTGCTGACCAAAAGTACAGGAATTAAGACATTATTGGGAAGAATATCGCGAGGGGACACATGTGGGAGCCAAGGCATGCTAAAGGGCGGGGTCGAATGTGCGCATTGCACAGTGAATCAGTGACAGTTCATTTTCGTGACAAAATCAATATCCAATAGTTATCAACCCCTTTCAGTCGTTAATTGGAAAATTAATTGCAGCAAGCGATCCCCCATGTCGCGGGTTTGGTTTGCGGAACACACGTATACAAGGACGAAGGCGTGCAAGTTGTAATTTATATTGGCATGTCATGAGGTTACCTTGAAAAATAACTTATATGAAACAAATATTATAAGGCGACAATGTCACAAAATAATGATGTGGTACCGTATGAGAAAGTTCAAACACAAAGTGTTGTGATATAAATAAAGACGTCACAGTAATGTCTAGTGTAATTGAATCCTTCTTGTTTACCTTGGGCTTGCAAGGATGGCCCGAGTACGCGGTTGACCCGGCTTGGTTAGCATTCGACCCAGCAATTTTTATAAGATGTAATTATTTTTCGAAGAAAGTTGGTGCTTGTAGTTTGTGGCTGGCCAGTGGCCACTAAAATCAATCGTGGCCAATCAAAATTTATCTGGCCCTGCAATCCTGTGCACAAGAGCTTCTTTCATTTAGACATCAAACTAGAAGAGTGTGTGCCTGCCTCGCTCTAGCTTCTCTGTCTGGTCACAATTTAGCGCTACCAAACATGTCACAGGCGGTGCTTGCAGCTGCTTCCTCCTCCTCCTCCTCCTCCTCTTGCTTCCCCACCTTCAACAGGCACCACTCGACAAGAACTCCACAGGTCACTACTCCAAAACAATTGCCATCAATTCAATGCCAGGTAGGTACCAATTCTAATGCTCAAAGCCTCAAACCACAAGAATATCTATCGCAACGGGTAAATCATTGTGGCAGTATTCTAAAGTAGTGATCATATCAGCTATCAGTGCGTGATTGGTTTGTGATATTGCCACGGTGTCACACCGTTTGGATATGTTTTGATTCCGAATCATGCTGTTCAAGAAATGTAACTTTATGACTCTACATTTGTTTTGTTGTATATTCTATATATCTAGAAATCTAGCTTCCAAGGATTGTCACTTGGAGAAGCCAAACGGGGAGTGCTATATTCTCTGGTAGCAGATTTGAACAATAGGAGTGGTTTAGGCAACAACGTAAGAAGAGGGCTTAGGGTTACAGCAAGAACTGCTGGGGCAGCCAAGTCGATCGAGGCTGAGGTGGACAAGCCTTTAGGCCTCACTTTGGGGCAAAAGCCCGGAGGTCCTGTTACCATCACTGTCAGTTTCTCTTATTATCTTTCCTTTTCTATCTCCAATTGCAATATATATTTGTACAAATTTCCATTTATATGGCTATACGAACATGGAGCTGTTAGTCGTACTCCAAAATAGTCACATGCACCCCTCAGTTGTGATAAGATTAAAAAGGGATCATATATTGCAGGATGACTATTTTGGAGTGCTAACGCATAATTTCCATACGAAGATGGTCACTTACAATTAGGAGTTTAATCTTGTAATATATGTATTGATAATATGTCTAGGCTGTGGATGGAGGTGGGAATGCAGCAAAGGCAGGGCTCAAGGCAGGGGACCAGGTGATCTACACCAGCAGCTTCTTTGGTGATGAATTATGGCCAGCAGATAAACTAGGGTTTACAAAAACTGCCATCAATGCCAAGCCAGACTCTGTTTACTTTGTTGTTAGCAGGTTGTTTATCTATTTCTTAATTTTATGTTAGAATATAAATTGGTTTTATTGAATTAATAACACTGTTTTAGGTCGGAAAAATGAAGTTAATTGTGGTAATTTTTAATGTAGAGGTGGTGCTGCTGTCGACGTTAAACGCCTACCAAAGCGTCCGGCTCCACCTCGTTTTGGACGGAAACTAACCGAGGCTCAAAAGGCAAGCATCACTTTATTAACATAACCTGCGGAATGACACTATTACTAGTGCTACTCAGATTCATTATCTAGTGGTATTTCTCTTTACTGGTAAATGAGAGGTTTTAAGTTCGATTCTCGTCAAAAACGAATTTGAATCACATTATTGCTAGCCTATTGACCCACATTATTACTAGCCTATTATGTTTCATTTGTCATAAGCTTCTACATTCCGCGCCCTATGAATTATATTATTGATTGGGTGCACCATGAACAATTTTCAGGCCAGAGCTACCCACATATGTCTTGACTGTGGATTCATATACACATTACAGAAGCCTTTTGATGAGCAGGTAATTTAATTAGCTCCGTTTTCACCAATTACCAATTAGATTAGACAAGTTTGTGTACGTGATTTTGATGCATTCATGCAATTGCAGCCGGATTCGTACACATGCCCTCAATGTATAGCACCAAAGAAGCGGTTTGCACAATACGATGTCAACACCGGGAAAGCCATTGGCGGCGGTTTGCCTCCGATCGGCGTCATCATTGGCCTAGCGGTTGGTCTTGCCGGCGTCGGAGCTTTGCTTGTATATGGTCTTCAATGAGCACACAGCTAAATACTTGCATTTTATTAAATTATACTAATACCCTCGATCATGTATCAGTTGTTGCAACAGGCCTATATATTCTAGAAAACGTAAAAACACCATGGAGTTTTTGAGATTTAAATTATCAATTCAAGAAGGGTAGCGTCTTTCTTTCTTAAGAGGGTAAGGTTGGTATCTATTTGAATGAATTACGGATTTGAATGCAACATAACATATTTGGAATCTTAATAATAGCTTCTTGTAACTATAAACGCACAAAACTAACTAATCACGAGCCAAAAACAAACCTATGAGTCGGGTAGGCTCCAATTTATACTACTTAATGTTTGGTTTGGCTTGTAAATACAAAAACAAGCAATTAATACTTTGTTTTAAAGACGTTTTTGGTTGGACCTAATTGGTCCAATTCAGTTTGATTCATATTTATAATTGGTTTGGTTCGATTTAGCTCAATAAGTTTTTTTTTGTAAAATTTGAAAAATAAAACAAACGAGAAGTTTGATACATGCTTATAATTGGTTTAGTTCGATTTAACTCCATAAGTTTTGTTTTTGTGAAATTTGGGAAAGAAAACAAACGAGAAGAAGAGACAAAAATAAATAATAGATGAAATTATAAGAGTCGGCTCTACAATTTGAGTAGGATGTCCAATAAAAAAGACTAGTGTAGAAGACAAATAAAAAATTATATTGGCCCATCAGTTTGGTTTTAAAAGTCTAAAAATCGAAAACCGAACGTATCATGGCCGAATGTACTTTCCCGGTTCGGCTTAACGGTTTGAACGTCACCCCTAATTAAATGTATTTTTGCAATTTTGTTTTCTCCAGTTGAGCTTTTTCTTGGGCTGACATTTCATGTTGGGCCTGTTTTTTGGTGTTTAAATAATCTTGTAAATTGTAATCAACGAAAGCCACAATAACTTCTTTTTTTTCCTGACGTGTTTTTTTTTTTTTTTTTTTTTAATATAACGATATATTTTATATTGAGTGAAATGAAAAGTTCGGTTAAGTTATATAATAGATAATTTATATTAACTTTTTGTTTTTGGCACTGTTTTATTAGTACAACGATATATTTTAAGGGAAAGTCCGGTTAAGCCATATAATGAACTACTTAATTTGATATCGAATTCGTCGTTTACGAGATTCAAATTTAAAACATTTTATTTACAAGTGAAAAAGAATGGATGTATTTTTTTTTTTTTTTAAGCCTGTCCTGTTCGTTGCGACCCTCCCCGGAGCTTCCCATCCAAGGAAAAATTTTTGGGTGTGCCGGGAACACCATGGACACATTGTGTTCCCTCACTCATAAAAATTTGAATAAATAAATAAATAAATAAATCAAATCAAATTTTTATAAGTGAGGGAACACCATGCCATGGTGTTCCCGGCACACCCAAAAATTTCTCCCATCCAAGTATTTGCTATCTAGGCACGCAGCCAACTTTACGTCTTTTCTTCTTCACACTTCAGACAAGTTATCAAAATCTACGCCCAACAGCTAGAAACAGAAAAAAGAGTGTTAGTGGGGAGATTCTTTTGGCTGATCCCAGAAGCCAGAGATGGAGAGAAAAGTACTTCTGGTTTGCTGCGCGGTGGGACTACTGGGGCTGCTATCTGCCGCCACAGGTTTCGGCGCCGAGGGCACGAGAATCAAGGTAAAAGCTAAAGGGCTCATCTGGGTTTTGCTTAGATCTTCTTTTCTTCACTTGGGTTCGTCTAAATCTGCTTCCTTTCTGCTTGATTATACTCTAACCCTCTGTTCGGTTGCTGGGAAAAATTGGGAAATTAAGAAAAGTAGAAGAGGGATTCATGTTATTACTAACTAATCTGTCTTGTTCATCCTTGAAGGGTGCAAATTCCAAAGCTTGAAGCTTTAATTTCTTATCTGCTTCAACGAACGGAGAGTTGTTTGGGGATTGCAGTTAATTTTCTCTTTTGCTATTGTTTTTCTTGTTTCCACTGTATCTGTTCGAAATCCAAGGCATTTTTTAACTTCAGAGGGGCTAGACCTAGCCCTTTATTTTTTTTTTTTTTAAGTACACCGATATTTTTACACTTTACACTAAAAGAGGAGGGAGTTTGGCTACCATAGTAGCCTAATTAGGTATCGAATCTGTCGTCCACAAGATTTGAACCTAATACACCTATCTCACTTCCAAGGGAAGAGGAATACATGTACTGAGTGGCTAACCCAGCCCTTCTATTAAGAAAATGGCTGTTTGTTTAGCTGACTTCTACATTTCCCCTTTTAGGTAAGACTTAAAACTAATATCGTATGTAGTGTTGACTTCCGATGCCTTTACCTTAACTTCCAAATTTCAATTATTTATTTGACTTCAATGCTTCAACTTTCGGGCTTCCAAAATGACTCTGCGGAAACTCACTAGTGTAGTTTGCCAATGAAGATTTGCCCATTTTTCGGTAAATGAAAACGCAGTTTGGAATTGTGTTATTTCTTTACAAATGCATTAAAAATCTCAAATCTGGAGCAAGAACAGTCATCTTTTAGGCTCTATCATTTCCTTTAATCATTCGTTTGTTGCACATAATGTTAATAGCTCATTTTGAACTCTAATGTCAAAAGAGTTGTGTTCATGTGAGAATCTGAGATGGAGATTAATGGAGAGACTGAGAGATTTACGCCTTCCCTCTCCATTCGGCAGTTATTGTCGATGGACTCAAACTGTTTAGAATATGCTCGCAAGTTGTCAGTTTTCAGTATGGAGTGATTGTTCAGAACCTTTAAGCAAGTGCCTCTTCATGCTAAGTTTACTTTATTTTATTTTCTTCTCCGGCTTTTTCCAGTTTTGTTGGCATTCAGTTTGCATAGTGGAGTCGATGCTGAAAATGTTCTGTTACTTCATTTTCTAACGTGCAGGTGTCTCAGGTTCAGTTTGTCTCAACTGTTAAATGTGAATACCCTCGGAGTCCGGCTCTTGGACTTGGTGTAACTGCTGCAATGGCTCTTATGTTAGCTCAAATCATTATAAATGTATTTTCTGGGTGCATTTGTTGCAAAAGGAGCCCTCAGCCTTCCAACTCTAACTGGACAGTAGCACTGTTCTGCTTTGTTCTTTCCTGGTAATTCTCAACCACAACTTGTTGTATCATTCATGAGGAAAATGACTAAGGCTGCTAATCCAAAAGCATGATTGGTTAATTCATCGTTTTGTTATCTTGTCAGTTTCTTACTATTCTTGTTGCTGCTGTTGTTTTTCTGGTTAAAAAGCACATGCGCATTTTTTTTCTACAAGAAAAAGGCAACTTATCTATCTGTTTCAACTGGATTAACAATGACTCTGTTTTCCGTTTACTCCACTCTCCACGCTGGTGCAGGTTCACATTTGTTATAGCGTTTCTTCTGCTGCTCACTGGTGCCGCACTCAATGACCGACATGGTGTAGAAAGCATGTACTTTGGCAACTACTACTGTTACGTTGTGAAACCCGGAGTGTTTGCCGGAGGTGCCCTTCTGTCAATTGCAAGTGTGGCACTCGGAATTGTCTACTATGTCACCTTAAATTCAGCAAAGAACAGTGATCCTTCATGGGCTGGTTCCACTCCTAATCAAGGGGCAATAGCTATGGGGCAACCCCAGATGCCACCGCAGAGTACTACTACCCAAGAACCAGTATTCGTCCATGAAGACACGTACATGAGGCGGCAGTTCACATGATCTGGGGCTCACATTGGTAAGACTTTATGGTATGAGCCTATGATCAGTCTCTGAAGATGTAATAGTTGGAATTCTAAGGGGGTTTAATTTTGTGCATAACGTACTGTCCAAGAAACCGAATGTGTTTGAATACCAGCTGGATGGATTATTTAAGATTTACGAATTTTACATGGATGGACTGAGTTTTGATTCATAAGCCTGGTTTTGCTATTGATTTTGGCAGAAATGGACCAAATGACGTACTTTGATTCACGTGCTTTCTTTCTTTACAAAATAATACATAAATAAAACTAGAAATAATGAATACAATTATTAATACAATATTGGAGCATACTAATGCAGAAAGCATATAACAATATATGATATAAAACGTGTGAAATCATTAAAAAAAACTATAAAATTGAAAAGAAATGTTATGTGAGTCTTCTCGACCTTCGAAAGGTAGACTATCCTAGCAAAACGATCAGTTGATCTTTTTTAACTCAAAAATAGATAAAATTAAAAAGAATTGTGAAGCTATAAATTAAAATAAATAAATAAAAATTACTATTATTGACACCTCAAAAAAATTATCGTGTATCTCCCATTTAATTTTCTTGAAAAATGCCAGATCCTTCACTTTCATAAAAAGAATAATAATAATGCTAGATCTTGCAATATTATGGTGAATGAGACACAATTGAATAATTGATATCCTTAATAATTATGATTAGGGATTTTTCATTAAAAAAAAAAAATTTAAATAACTAGATAGGGAACTCAAACGGTGTGCTGTATCTGACCAAACGCACGGGTATTTCCGTCACACAAGTTTTCAACGGCTCTCTAGACCCATAGCCGTTGCAAGCTTTCCATAAACCCTAGCTCATCTGCCATCCCCTTCATCTCATCGCTATATAAACCCACTAATTCAACCTAGCATTACTCACTTACGCTCTCTCTCTCTCTCTCTCTCTGAAATCGCAATTCTTCGCAACGCTCAGAGATCTATTACATCTCGCGCCCTCCAATTTTCTTTATTTGGGATTTCTTGAATCATTCCCTTTTATGCAGAATTGATTTTGTGAATTAACTAATATTTTTTGCAGGATTTTTAAAATTTCCTTTTTTATTTTTCGCATATATATACACATTTTGTGTGGGTATTTTTACATAATGGATGCAGGATCAATGGGTTCTTCACCCAACTTGAAGTCGCAGTCTAGGTGCCCTCTTCAAGAACAGTTTCTTCAGCGAATGAATTCTCGGGAAAACGTGAGTTTTTAATTTTATACCGAATAGATTTTTCTTCACGGTTCAATTGATTTGATTTCGGAAATTTGGGATTCTGTTCTTTATTAGGGTTCAATCAATTTGATTTGGATATTTGGGATATTTGTTTTACTTTGATTTGGATATTTGTTATTGGTTGGTATATATGTTTGGGCTTGGGGTTCATCTAGATTTGGGATCTGATATCTAATTGATTTCTGTAATTAGGGTTCTTTAATTGACCGATGTTCTGATATGCATCTTTTGTAATTTACCTTACCAGTTGGACAGGTTCATACCAAACAGGTCAGCAATGGATTTTGATTTCGCTAACATGATGCTAACAGAAGGTAGGAAAGGTAAGGAAAACCCAGCTGTCTCTTCCCCATCCAGAGAGGCCTATCGGAAGCAGTTGGCAGAGGCAATGAACATGAACCGGACTAGAATCCTTGCATTCAAGAACAAGCCACCTGCCCCTGTTGAGATGTTCCCGCGCGAGTTCTCTTCTCTGCAACAGGATAAACCTGCAAAGCCCCGAAGACACATTCCTCAAGTGCGTATATGTTTTTATTCTGATCTCATGAACATATTTGCTTAAACTTTATTGGTTACTCTGAAAATTTGTTGTGGTGTTTAACTGACTACTAATGATTTGTTGCAATATTCAGACCTCAGAGAAGACATTGGATGCTCCGGACCTTGTGGATGATTACTACCTCAATTTGTTGGATTGGGGGAGCTGCAATGTCCTCGCCATAGCTCTTGCAAACACAGTTTATTTGTGGGATGCTACCAATGGTTCTACTTCGGAACTGGTCACATTTGAGGATGAAGTTGGATCTGTGACCAGCGTCAGTTGGGCTCCTGATGGGCGCCACATTGCTATTGGACTGGACAATTCTGAAGTACAGTTATGGGATTCGACTGCTAACAAGCAGGTTGGTTGGTTTGGTTGTCATTTTCCTCTTCTGTTTTATGTTACATTGTGGCCAATTTTACTAACATTTCTTGTGATGTTGTTTCCTTCTGTAGCTGAGAACTTTGAGAGGTTGCCACCGATCACGAGTAGGCTCTTTGGCATGGAACAACCACATTCTTACAACTGGAGGGATGGACAGTTGCATTGTGAACAATGATGTAAGAATTAGATCACACATTGTTGAGACATACAGAGGACATGAGCAAGAGGTTTGTGGACTGAAGTGGTCGGCCTCAGGCCAGCAATTGGCTAGCGGAGGAAACGACAACCTTCTCCATATATGGGACAGATCAGTGGCATCTTCAAATTCACCAACTCAGTGGCTTCACAGACTTGAAGATCATACAGCTGCAGTGAAAGCCCTAGCTTGGTGTCCTTTCCAGGGCAATTTATTGGCTTCTGGTGGAGGCGGGGGTGACCGGTGCATAAAGTTTTGGAACACTCACACAGGTGCATGCTTGAACTCGGTCGACACTGGCTCTCAGGTCTGTTCTTTGCTGTGGAACAAGAATGAAAGGGAATTGCTTAGCTCACATGGGTTTACTCAGAATCAGCTCACTCTTTGGAAATACCCGTCGATGGCTAAAATTGCCGAGCTCACTGGCCATACTTCTAGAGTTCTTTATATGGCTCCGGTAATTAATCTGACAACCTTATAATGGAATTGAGTATATAAGCTATGCTCCCTTACAGACATAAAACTAAATCCTTTCATGTTGTGAATTATCTGCAGAGCCCCGATGGTTGCACAGTTGCATCAGCAGCTGGTGATGAAACACTCAGGTTTTGGAACGTTTTTGGGGTCCCAGAGGTGGCTAAACCAGCTCCCAAAGCTAACCCTGAGCCCTTTGCTCATTTGAACCGCATTCGCTGATCAAGAACAAGAGAAGGGCTCCCTTGAATCATATTTGCACATTTACATCAGATGGAGCTGCAGTATTCTTTCTTTGAGAATCATACCGCTGATCAAGATTCAAGAACATAAGGAATTATATCCGTACTTCGGAGCAGTGCAAGTTAGTTGTTCTTCATCAATAGTCTCAGACTGCAGCACAGGGCAATCTCAGTCCACGTTCTTTGTACAACTCCCCTGTATACAAAGGGTGATAGAAAATAGGAAATCCGTGTAATTAATTAGTAATGAATTTTCAGTCTCCCTTTCCTGTGGACGTAGGCACATTGCCGAACCACGTAACTTTTGTGTGTTTGTGCTCTCTCTCTCTCTCTCTCTTGAAGTTGGATACTTCTGCTACATACGTTTCATTTGTACAGGTTTTTTTTTCCAGCACTTGTGACACTTTTTCCCGTCCATGGTTAAACCAGAAAAAGAGACGGGAACAGGAATGCATCTTAATTGACGAAATACTCGGATTACACATCTGTAGAACGTTTTGAACCGGAAGAAATCTACAGTTTCGTACTAGGCTGCTGCTAAACAGGCCTAATGATTACAATTCTGAACTCCTAAATCGAAAAGCAATCTTTGAATGGTGTTTACAATTTCTTGAGGACTTAAAGTGGCATCAACTTTAAGTATTCCTTCAGAATCATCAATCTGAAGCAACCCCAACTGAGACTGCAAAAGTGCAGGTGACATGAAATGCTTCCCTTCCGCAATTCTTTTCTCTAATCTAGCAGCCAGCACCTCTGCCTGAGCATCCAACAAGACGAACTTCACCAAACTGGTGCAACTTCCCGGTTTATAGTTAGGGTCGGCAGATTTTAAAATTTCTCTGTATCGCTTCTGCAGAGCCGAACACCCAAGAATCACAGTTCCTCCAGCGACCAACTTGTCCCTTACGCTATTTCGAAGTGTCTCAAGCCAAGGAATCCGGTCTTCTTCTGTGAGAGGGATCCCTTTACGCATCTTTTCTGATTACAGGAAGATAAAAGATCGATTAGAAACTATAAAAGTTGCCATCATCGAATATAAACTACACACCAGCACCTACCTTTGTTTGATTGAGGGTGGAAATCATCTGCATCTATAAAGCTAGAATTTATCTCTTTCGCCAGCATCTCACCTATCGTGCTGTTGAACAACATAACAGAATGCATAAGAAGCAGAAACTACAACATTCGAAGATCGAATATAAGAAACTGCAACTTTCTTAAGTGATGCCGATATATCTAAATCCAATCACGCCAAGGCACTTGAGAAAGTCACTAGGATCCGGTATGTGGTTGTGCTTCTGAAGAAGGTTAGTTGTTTTTCCATATACAAGCAAATTGGGGGAGGGGTAATCGAACTCAGGACCTCGGGTGCATGTAAATGCAAGTTTGATAGGGTTCTCGAAAACAAAAGATATGATGAACTCATGAACGCTACCATGTTACATATATATTTACAGAGAAATGAAAAATAACAAAAGGTGAGATCAAAGGCTTACGATTTGCCAGCACCACTGACTCCCATGATCACAACAACCATCCCTGTACAATTCACAACCAATCAATTTCACGAGACGCTATTGGAAATTAAATCCAATTTCCAAACAAACCCAGATATCAAAATTCTCCCAACTTTTACAAAAGAAATATAAATTTTAAATTCAGGCAAAGCAAAGCAATACCTCCGCCAAGATCTGAAGCCATGTTTGTCGCGCTTACCGATCAAATGAATCTACAAAGAATGCTGCTTTTCTTCTTCAAACTTCATGAATCATATGTTGGTTGGTGAATTTACACGCGACGGCTCGCCTCCCTCCTTTCTCACCTTTTGCTTTGTCTTTCTCCCCAAAAGTCAACGTAATATCTTGACGCAGCTTAATGGTGACGGCTCAAATATGAAGACCGGAGGATGAGAGATTTTTCAACGTGACCAGTACATCAGATTAAAACACGTAATGTATCACTTGTGTTTCCGTCACAATTAAAAATTGCTCCCGAAGGGAAAGGGAATTGGAGGGAAGAATCCTGCTCCCAATGCTATTGCTTTGTTGCCAGCTATGGAAATGTTTGGTAACGAGCATAAAGGTTGACAATTTGACAGTTAATGGTAACCACACGTTTGGTTTGATTTGCAGGAAGGGAAATGATAAGAAAATTCTCATAAAAGTGGGATTGGCAGACTTTTTGCCATTTTATGTTTTTGTATTTTGATTTTTTATAATATTAGCACGAAAATTCACGTTAAGATATTATATGGTAGAAAATTCATACAAGTTTCTACTTAAAGAATCTTGTTAGCATTTCTCTTGCCGCGGGATTTCGGAGGCCAAATAGTAAACACAATAGACGCCTCCTGATTGAATGATTGTGAAGGGTGCAACAAATTGTTTATAGCCATCAGCCAATTGGATTTTACACTTGTCCTCAATAAATTATTTTCAAATTTGTCCTTTTTTTGTTTTTTTCCTTTTGTTATTTCTAATTTTACAGAAGTATAAGTCGATTCGAACTTGGTTGCTAGAGAGCGGACATACGCCCCGAACTTGATACGTGTTTAAGGTTGGATGCAAGTCGAAATATTGCCAATGTTGTTGAGATATTGCTAGTTGGTATTATGCAAATCCCAAATTCCAGTTTGAGTTAACGGGACAATCAAGCCACGTTTGTACGAGTTAAGGACATGATGTCGGAATTTGAAGTTAATAAGAAGTTTCTAATCGAGGATTAGATAAATGATCCACTATGAACACCAAGATATGCCAATTTACAATTCTTCCTCATTCATCATCACAGGCAGGCACTTCACGACTTCAAGTACAATAATGTGTTCATAAATAAACAAGAAAAACAGCGTATCACCTACCAGAGTACTGGTTTGGTACTTAAGTGCTTTTATAAATAGTGGGTATAAAAAAAAGTTGAGCTCAAAAAGGTGTTTGGTAAACACTTAAAAACAACTTATTTTCACAGTTTCAGGTGGAAAAAAAAATTGAAAACGTAAAGTAACAAAAATGAGTTTATTCTCACAATACAGTAGAAACAGCTTTTTTTCAAAGCACAGCAATACCAAACCAGCCGTCGCCCGTCTAAAAGCAGCCGGGAAGGCCTTGTCTTTGAGAGCCCTCGAATATTAAGAATGAACACGTATGGATTTTCATTTCGTCTGCATACAGCCAGCCACACCTATTCTCCTACTTCATAAAATGGCAATCCCCTGGAACCGAAACAAGAAAAACACGCACGCACAACACATACAAAAAACATCAGCCTGCATTTTCAACTCTCGTTCAATAGGCAACGAGGATAGAGATGGCATTCTAAGTACTGAAACAATCTCCAACACTCCAACACTCCAAGACATACATTGTATAAAGAATAAACGAACATAAGATTTCGGGAAATTTGGAAAATTGTTGAAATTTAGGTCCCATTTAGAATTTTAGCCGACTCTTTTGATTTATGATAACCTTACCCTAAACCACATCTCTCTTCCCCTCTTCAAGCACGCTTATACCGCCAAGTTTTTTTTAGTTTTTAATTTGTTTCCCCTCGCATCTCATCAGCTGCATCTTTCCTTCTCATCCTCCCTACTGTTGTAATCCTAAGTATTACCATCTACACTCGCCATGAAAGTTAATTTTTAAGAAACTCATTCATACTACAAGATTATTTTAAGGTATGTTGATTGTTTCTGTAGAGTAACATTTCAATTTAATTGTCATGTGCAAATGACACACTGTTACTTCTTTACATGTTTTCGTATATTTACTGTTTTACAAAGCTTGCATCTTTATCGATCAATCAATGATCGACTTAGAAATATCTAAAGCTTTATACAGATGCTACTGCAAGTTAATTGGGTGCCATGTGTTCCCGTTGTTTTAGATTTTTTAGTATGAAAGCTATGTTGATTGTTAATTCGTTCTCTCTTTCAATAAAATCATAAAGTCTGTTCCTTCTATAGCTGAAGAGGTATACATACGCGCAGGAAGGATCGGAAGAGTTCAGAGGAGTATGTTGGGAAATATGGTACCAGTTATGGCGGTAGTTTGCGTAAGTAGATCAAGAAAATGGAAGTTGGTCGGCACTGAAGAGAATAAAGAGGGGGTGGGGAAGGGGAAATGACAGAAAAGGAAATAAGTTTCTAATAATTAAGGTATCTGAGTACTTTCATGCCAACTTTCGGTTACAATTATCATAAGCCAAAACGGAAGGCCAAAATTATAGACAAAGCCAAATTTTGGCTATTTTTCCAAATTTCCCATAGATTTCAAAGATGGACTATGAAAACAATGGAAGATGACAGAAGTTGGAGTGCCTGAGTCTATATATCGGAACTTTCTAAATTTGTATGGCACACGCCAGTGGTTAGTACCAAGTCAGGATGTACAGATACACGCAAAGGTCTGAGCTAACAATGAACATTCTAGACATGGTTTCTTAAGAAACAGTCATTTGGATTTTGGCTTACCATCCACCGTGTCTTGAGAAATAGTCGTTGTCCAACGATACAGCAAGGGCAACAGTTACAGCTCTCTCTAACAGAGTCAGTGGTCGAATGACTTCCAACTCGTTAATCTGCCATAAAATAATTAATGAGAAAAAGTAGCAAGAATATTAAATGGAATAAATCAAATCAAACAGAACATCGTTTTTCTGATTGGGTACTCTACCAATCTAGCAGAACCAGTAATGGAGCTGGCATCAGAACTCCCAAACCGAATCACATATTGCCCCGCATCAGTGAAAATCTGAATGATATGGAAGTATAGTAAAACATTAGTTGGTAAATCTACAACATAATTTGCAAACAATGCCACATAAAATCTAATAGCTTAACTGAAAAATACAAATATAAAAGATCTTTGGTAAAAGAAGATATACATCATTAAGCTTTCTCGGTCTTCAATCCAACTAAATATCCCCAAGGGCATGTGTAGACCCTCCAATCCAGATGGCCGGCACAAACAACCGGAGGAGGCCCATAGGGTGTACACATCGGTGCGGGATCAAATATGATACCTTATGCTTTGAGGTTTAAGGAACCAATGAAAAAGAAAATTTGACAAAAAAAATCCAAATATGCACATAAAGACTGAACCAAAATTAAAAGATTCATAATTTGATAAGATCAAGTTTACCATAAATAATCACTAGATATCTAGGTCCCTAAATGCATCTTCCAAAACATAAAATACTTTCTTCATAAGATATTAATGTTGTATGTTTGACCGCAGTTATATACGTTGATACAATGGAAAAGAAAAAAAGAAGAAAACAAACCTCAAAGCCGAAACCCCTCCATTCACGATCTATCTCAGCCAAAACTTTGTCGTCAATGTCCTTCAAAGTAAAAGTCCAATGCCAGAAGCCAGGATTTTCTACAACTGCAAACTGCTTATTCCTACAACAACCATGTAGCATAAGGCAACAATGTGCAGTATAGGGCACTAACCTTGACTACATGAGGTAACTCATTCTGAATCAAATAAACACTGCATTAAAATAAAGTAGCATTTGGAAATTACCCTAGGTACAAATCATACACCCTCCTCCAAAGATGCCATCGTCTGTGAACCACACCGATTTCCTAGAAAGTAACAGATATCCAACACCATCAACAATCTGAATGCTAATTCACATGCTCAACAATCTCTTTAACTGCTGTGGCGACCAACAGAAGTTATGTCAAGTTTTCCAACCTTACTGTTGATCTCTACATAAATTGAGCTGGTTATCCACCAAAAAGGCCTGCGAACCTAAATAAGACAAAATGAGAGATAAAACTGATATGTCAGTATATTCAGAATGCATTTTTCCAACTAAAAAGACAAAAATAAATGTTCTATATCCTCACCCTAAAGAGCTCATTACACATGGCATCAGTTACATGAGCAACAAAAGGGCGCCTGAGGCGAAGCAACTGCAAAATGAAAAGCAAACATCAGCACAGAAAAACCTCTATAAGATAACATAAAGCACAAGAAGCAATCAGTAGTCAAAAGGAGGTAATTTTATATTTGAATCAGCATATCAATAACAAGATTAATATTCAAAATGAAGTAACTAAATAACTATGTCATGTTCAAGCTGCATAACTGTACATGAAAGAATATCAGCCAAAAATGTAAAGATTGGGTTAGAAAGTACCTGTCTACCAATAAACTGACTCTTCTCACGAATAAAACCAACAGGCTACAAAAAGAACATTGAGTAACAGGAAATGGTCCATTAGTTTAAAACCTAAACATTGAGTGATGTGAACTAGAATGATTACTCACTGACTCTGGGTAGCACACATCCACTATTGCATACCGATTTTCCTGGAATTATGTCAAATACAATTAGTAACTAGAATACCACTAGAAGCAAGAAGACGAACTGAAAAATAAAATGCCCAATAAATGTCAGATAGAGTGAAAATGATATATATATATATATATATATATATATATATATATGTATGTATGTATGTATGTATGTATGTTTAGAGAGAGAGAGAGAGAGATGCTGAGACGAAGAATTCTACAAACTTTTACAACTGACTTGGTTCTCAAAAGATATGTGGAAAACACATCAGACCTATTAAATTTATAAAATATTTTCTGAACATTCAAGGCCAACAATTTGAGGGGAAGGGGGCAAACAGAAAGAAAACCAAGAGTTTTTAATAGAAGTCAACAGTTTTAGAACCAGCAAATATGTCAAGCACCGAAGTACATAATCTTAGCCTTCTGGCCATGACAATATGTACATACAAACTAGTCCCTGGAAGAACAATAATAGGGCAAAGAATCACCTGCTCAAATCCAAGAGTAAGATTTACCCACTCTATCTCCCTAGTAATCAGCAGATTTGATCTAGCAAGAAGAGGCATCACCTGGGCCTAAAAAATAAAACGAAAGGCAAGTAAGACATTTCATGTTACTCAAACTAGGCACAGCAAGGAATGACTTGGATACTAGAAAGTAGAGACTTAGAAGGATGAGCATAAGTAAAAAATTGTGGCAAACAATTATAGCATAGTTATATAAGCGAATGTCTATAACAGCAGCAAAAATCACATTTCAGTTGCTACTCTTTAAGAGCATACATTAGTTGAAAGGTTAAACAACGATACTTACTACAAAACAATACCAGGGGAGCATGGAAAATTAGGTTATTGCATCTAAGTGGATAAACTGACAAGCTGTAATTCTAAGAGCGAAAAAAGAAATAGGGAGCAAAAATTTGACCTCTTCTGGAGATTCTGGCTTCAGATATCCCGAGATGGATTGGCTTGGAGGCGGTTGCTTCATATTGGGTTCATCCTCATCAAAAGAGGCTGCTTGACTGAAAGGTGCACTTGGACACCATCCGTAGGATGAATAGTGGTACGGTGTTTGTTTACTATACTTCACAGCTTTTCCTCTTCCGTTTCTTTTAGACTGTTCCATTTTCCTATCTGCAACCCAGAGGTGTACAAAGAAGTCCCTAGTCAATTCAGGATCACCACCACTACCAGCCTTGTGTCCAAACTGACGAGACAAAGATACCAGGCTCTGCTTTGACCACACAGAATTTCCATTAAACCTTGAAATTACATTTCTTGATCCAATCAACCTCTGCTCAGAATCTTGAAAATCTTTCGCCACGGTAGCAACACAGGATCCATCCCTAGGCCATGAAGTAGCAGGTAAATTTCCTCTTTGAGACTGAAAACCACAGCGGACCTGAATGCTTTCGATGTTATCAGTAGCATTGTGACGGGATTTTCTAGTATGATAGAATGAGGATCCACATCTGGAATCTGCTGCACAAGTTTTGTAAATCTTGGTGGAAAACCTTGTCCAGTTCATCTATAATCTATTACAATTTCTTGAACAGATTGAACCCGAAGCATATATCTGCGTATGCAGATTACAGAATCACAATTATTATAAAAATAAACATAATTAACAGAAAATAAAGAATCTTTCGACGAAATTAAGCCAAAGAAAAGAAACTAAGCTAAAAATCACAATTAATTCCAACGCTTCATAATACATAATTAACAGAAACTAAAGAATTTCCATGAAATTGAGCAAAGAAAAGAAATAAGCAAAAAACCACAATTAATCCCAATGCTTAAGTGAACTTTCTGAAGCTCTATCATTATTTTCCATCGATTGTTTTCCATGAGATTACCAAAAGAAAGAAAATGAAGTGTTAATCCACTAGCGCTTAACATATAATCCTCTGTACAATAACCAACATTTAATTCAGAAAAAAACGAAGAATCGAAGAACGCAGGTCACATTTGATCGCAATAGATTTTGATCGTCAACATGTTATCAAGAAACACAACATTCTTGTGAGCAGTATGGAGGAAGACGAACTCACCAATGCAGCTCTCTGTCTCTCTCCGATGAAGTTCCAAGCTTTCCCCGCTATCTTTCTCTCTCTCTCTCTCTCCGATGAAGTTCCAAGCTTTGCCGCTCTCTCTCTCTCTCTCTCTCTCTCCCCGATGAAGTTCCAAGCTTTCCCGCTCTCTCTCTAACTTCCTCTCTCTGCCTGTGAACGAGACAAAGACTCTTAACGTTTTTGTATTCAGTGTGGTATTGAACCAATCCGTGTCAGCTGTAATTGATATATAAAAGCTGGCCTGACACAATATCGTAATTTCAGTGCCAACCGTCTAAATCAACCCAACTTAAATGGGTTGGGCTGCATTTTAACACATGCAATTTTGAAGGAAAATTTTAAGCACGCAAACTTATAATTTGATATTGAATTCGTCATTTAAGAAATTCGAATCTAAAACCTCTCACTCCCGAATGAAGAAGAATATCACTAGATCGTAATACTAAGTGGCTGATGGTTACTTATTTAATTCATTGTATATTGAGTTTATTTATTTTTTTCCTCTTTATAATGTTATTTCATAGTAGTAATATCGTTTGTATTAAAAATTTCTTTTTTACCTGCACAATTTTTTAAGAATTTATTTACGGAATTGACAGAATATTTTATCAATTTTAATGAATTTTTAACTTGATAACCATAACTAAATTAATCCCTACAAATTTTAATTCAAGAAATTCTAACAAAGCTGACGTTTAGCGACTGACAATCCAATTTACTTGTAAATATATACCTCAAAAATCAAAGTAAGAAAATAGAAAGGGTGCGCAAAAATACTATGAGAAATGCTAAGTGGATTCTTTCAAAGTAGGAGTTTATGTGAGTACTCTGTCACCTCACAATTTAACATCAGTTCTAGCCAACACTGCAAAACATTGTGCCCAAAACATCAAATAGCAAAGACTACATGAAAAGTCCCTTTTTCTTTTTTTAAGAGTCCTTAGCATTTCTTAAGGGTTATATGCGCAGAAATCATTTCCTATTCGAAATGCTTGAGCATTTTAAAGGAATGAAATATCAGCAACACACACATTAATATGATAACGTGACAACTGGAAATTCACAGAACACATTCCCCCACTTTCATAGCTATATATTATTACTTAAATTAGTCAATGAAAAACAGCCAAGATACATATTAATAACCTTGTATGGAATTAAATGTACATTTTCCTATGAATTCTATCTATCACCTACTTCCTCCCTAACATAACCTTAGTTCCTTCACATCCTCAGAATTCCATATCCAGCAAAATGCAATGCAGTTAACAACCCGTGTACTTCCATGGCTGCTTCCTCATGTCCGTTACCCGCTTCATCTGATTATTCCAAAAGACGGCAGAAAAACTCGGTCTTCTTCTAGTGTCCTGGACCCTGGTGGGTAGTGCTCGCCCAGAAAGAAGAGAATAGCAGTAAAATATGGTGCTAGCAGTATGAACTTATTGTACTATATAACAATGTACAGGTAAAATCTATCACGAATTTCTCTCCTTTTCGCTATTCAATAAAACCGTACTAACTGCTTTTGATGGAGGCCTATTGATCTTCTCAAGTAACCTACTAAATACTAATTTCACCGGTATGCAAGCTACAGTAGTAGCAGCCCCAGAAGACTCCGGTTTGATCAGCCCTTCCCTTTGATAACTACTGCTATCATGATGCATTCGCTTGTTACTAAAATTCTGTTCAACGGGTATTGAAGATATGGTCCTTGTTTTCTGGCTTGACGATAGGATCACTTTCTTGGCCGCCTTTTTTGAGAACTTTCTATCAGTGGGAAGCCGAGAGTTGTAAGGAAGGCTCCTTTTGCCCTGGCTTGCCTTGTTACTGAAACTCCCTATATTTAGTTTCTTAAATGGCGGTCTGCTTTCTTCATCTGAAAAGGGAGGGTAGTTAGCAGTTTCATCACCATCCAATGCAGATGATAAATGAGGGCGTGGGACTCGAACATTTGCTGTCCTCCTTGCCGTCCTCCATGCGTGTGGAAGAGTTGCAACCCCATTATTGTCAATTGCTTCTTCACCAAATTCATCAACTGTTGAAAGAAGCGAGTTGGATGAACCATCTTCTAAGGCTTCAATTTGGATTGGGTGCCCTATTATTGCCTTCCCATTTAACTTACTCATCAGAGAAACAATTGGAACAGGCTCCTTTTGGTAACTTGCCTGGACCTTCAAGTCAACATCTATCAAGTATTTTGGCCTCCTGCGATAATGATGACGGCCATCATATACCGGGTGAAAGCGCTCTCTTTTGATGTCCCAGTATTCGTTCCAAGCAGACCTATCCTCCCAGGTCCAGTCCTCCCAATCAATCATATTCCGACCAACACTGTTTTGACGTCTTGCTGAAGCTCTTGACGCCATGGAGTATTCATCTTCCAGTACAAACTCAGCCTGAAAATCATTACTATCCACATTAGCCCTATGATGATAATCATTAAAATCAATGTATCAACATAAACTTGAGATTTACGAATGTTTTAGATGAAAGCACATACCTTTTCTTCAGAATACGGTCCATAATTATAGCCTTTTCCGTAAGTTGCATCCATAGACTTTTTTGTAAGATTGCGGATATTCCTTTTCCCTTTCAGCTGCCATTTGGACACAGCTCCACTAGCAAATAGAGAGTCATGACTATAGAGGTGAGACATCTCACCAGAATGCGATAATTCATCAGGCTCCTCACCAACCATGATTCTGTGTTCTTGTGCTTCATATCTTCCCACTTCTGGTTCTGTAGATTAATGTACATACAAAACTTAGAGGGTGTTGACAAAGAAGTGGCGAAGCCATCATGAACACTTGAGGCCAAAGCTCAGTGAGACCAACGCAATAGCATAAAGTGCATATTCCAAAATTTATAACAGCACACATTTACAAATATAAAGAATAAAAATAAGGAAGAATTAAGAAGGATAGACTTCGTTTAAGTTCAAACAATAGATTGTAGTTGGAGTGCAAACGCTTAAAAGCATAACTGCTGAATCACAATCTGTGCATTGAGATGAGAGAAACATGCTACAAATCACATCTTCCCTGGAAGATCAAAATACGCGTACCAAACATTAAAGGAGGTAAATGCAAAAAGAATTCATACTATCATGTAACATACATATTATAAATAAGAATCATAGAGCTTAACTTTCCAACAAATATGAACATTGGGACTATTTTATATCAGACGATCTGGCAACTAATAACCCATGGAATTTCAAAATATAAAGATAGTAAAAAGCTGAACCTGAAAGTAAAGGCATGTCTTCATCCATATCTGGTTCGGTCTCAGATGAATCCAACTCGGACTCAGAAGTATCAGTTTCAGAAGAATCAGAGTCATCCTCTGTAAAACCAGAAGTGTTCTCTGAAATCATGGACTCAGCATGAGGACGAGCACCAACTGGGGAAGCTGAGATCTCTACATGGTTTGAAGGAGATGCTTCATACCCCAAGGATTCACCAGACTCAGCTGGCAAATATACAATTTTACTCCTCTTTGCCTTGTAAATAACTCCCGTTGGCTCCACTCCTGAAACAGAAGTAGAAAGAGTAGTACTGTCAGGTTGCAAGGACTGCGGGACTGCTAATTTTGCAATATTCTGCAAAACTTGAACAAGAGGACGACGTTTATCAGGTCTCTTGACCAAAATTTCATCACTTAATCCATCATGTGACCTTTTCCTTTGCTCTAAAGAATGTTTACCATTCACATGACTTGTTCCTCCCATGCTAAGACCACCACGACTAAGAGCTTGAACATTACCATTAAGTGTGGGTTTCAAAGAACCGTTTAAAGCAATAGAAGAAATTTTTCGCTTCAAAGGGGCAATTTTGAGACCAAAGTCTTGCAAGCCTCTCATCCGAGGCACGACTTCAGAATGATCATCATCACCACTTAGTTGATTTCCCTCTTCGACTCTTTCTGAAGACATAGGACTGCCTATAATGTCATTTCTATGAGACGTAGGTGATTTGGAATTTGCAAGTTTTACATTGTCAATTCCCAAGCTCCCAGAAGAAATAACTAACTCCTTTTTCACAGCATCAGATAATTTATTGTTCAAGCGTTCAGAAGTTATACCTAACTTTCCTTGTTTCTTCAATAACTGCTTCTCAAGTTCAAGCGCATGAAGAATAGCATCTTCTCGACGTGCATATTTCTCTCTTTTCTTTATAGGCATACCCTGCGCTGATTCGGCCTTCTCAATACAATCATCAAACTCACCGCATCGAAATGCCTTAACACGCTTGGATTTTTCCAGATTGTACCAGTCACTGAGAGAAATACCACAGAATATCCATTACTATAGCAGTAGGTAAAACCATAAAACCAAAGAAGGCATGAGTAGAAGAATCAGCAAGTATGAACAGACTCCAGTTTGACAAGAGAAGACTATTCCATAAAAGTAACATAGTTAATCGAATCCATCTTCACTAATCTGTAACAAAAAAAATGTCTGCTAGGTAGATAAGGCCAAAAGAGTCATCAGTATGCAATCATTCTCTGGAGATCTGAACCATTTGAAGGATTCTGCTAAATAGTTCTACACGACAACCAATCATATGTACATTGAAACACAGTTTAAAATGGCATGGAAATAATGACAAGGCCTCCAAGGTACTAGTACAACATCTCTGAGAATCCACTGCTCTCGTGATTTTGTTGTTACCCTTCTCCAAACACTCACTGACTAACAAATAAATTCTCAACATAAGGATATACCTTATCTATCATCAAAATACATGTTTAAGCAAACAAGGCATAATTATGACAATAATATGCTCAAAGTTCAGACGTGTGCCAGAAATCTCTCATCTCTATATGAAAGATCTAGATTTTTCGGAGCTTGGTTCTTTATCCTTTGACAAATAACCAAAGTATTTCATGACAGGGTGTACCTAAAGGTATGCATAGAATGGGGTTTAAGTCCTGGCATTTAACATTTCATTTGACTCCGAATTGTACAACTAATCAAATATTTTCCATTCCATAATCTCATCTTCAATGCCTTATAAACCTAAGTTGCAGTAATTTTCTGACATGGGTTTCTACTTCTGCTCCAATATGTTGTGATTTCTTCAAGTTAAATAGAAAAAACCGCGTTCTTTACGGCTCACTCATACAATAAAACGTTAAAACATGATATTACACTCGCTAAACTTCATTATTTTGCTGATTTCTAGATAAATATCTAATCACAACCATATGCTAAAACTAACAAGTATTTTGCAGAAAAGGGGAAATGATGAGAGACATACACACTGGCATCTTCTCTGCCGAGAAGCTTGACGGGGGTCCCAGAGCGAGGCGACGTGAGATGCGAAGTGGAGAGCTCTTCCGGGCCCACTATCTTCCCCGGCCACCAGGACCCGTTCCTCCGCCTCACCCAGACGATCGATCCTACGCTGAAATCGCCCGTACCTGAATCCGCACTACCCATAACACACATAAACGCACGCACTCACACACACACACACTCTCTCTCTCTCTCCCTTCTTTCTCTCTTGTGTTTCTCTCGGTCGGCGAACAATGGAGGAAGTCGGAGCTGAGCTCAGCCTCCAGCAAAGAATAGTGCGGGAGGGAAGATCCGAAGAATTACGAAAATGGAGGGTCCAATTTGAGAAATTGGGGTTAGGGCTAGGGTTTCCATTCAGAATTGGGGATTTTTCATTTCTATGCCTTTATTTTATTTGTCCTCTGTTTGTTTTCTCTCTGTTAAAAAAATAAATAAATAAATAAAAATATGGAAAAAATAATAAAAATTGGATGGTTTGTCGAAGAAGGTGGGCTGGCTGAGCAAGTAAAGAGTGGGTCTGTGTCATGCATCTCTGTGGTCGTCTGTGGGGGGATTAATACCACTTGCGGAAATCGGACGACTTTTGGTCCCAATCAACGCGTGCTGCGAAAGCATTTCTGTCTTCAACACGTGGACGGTGATATGTTTGGGCTTCAGTTTTTACAACTTCTAAGCCCAAAAACATTTTGACCCAAAAAAAATTCAGGTTCTTGAGCAAGTCCCGTTGTTATTCCTCTATATTGTTCTAATTTTATTGGATGTTGCTTCAATTGAATTTCGATGTTTAACGAACTGGGAAAAGTAACATAGTGAAGAATTTGGAATAGAAAAAATTTGACTTAGGTCACATGACTGACACCGCTGCACAATGTTATAAGTTTGCATGTCATAATATAGGCATAAATACTCACCTATCTCTGACCCCTTAGTGCAGATGTATCATTTTATCAAATTAAACACTCGACTAATTATTGATTAAGTGCAATTTTCACATTTTGTTAATTCCATACATTTAAACAGTATCAAATTTGGATCCAACCTAATATGATCAATAGAAGATGGACTGAGGCACTCAATATGATAATTAGATAACTCGTTAACTTAACAGAAGAGCTACCATGATCAGATTTCACGGTTTTCTTCTATATGATGATTTGGTCTCATTGTTAACCTTCTGGCCTTTTTGCGAATGGTTCCTTTGAAACTCCAACCTTACCAATCTGTTCATGAGCTTCTTCTCTGTATACTATTATGGCACACTGATGTACAATTGAAACATAGACAGTGAAGTCTTTATCCGCATGGTAGCTGTCTGTGTGTATTAGTAGTTGGGTGGTGTTATCCACACACCGTTTTTACCTTCCACACACACCCTGTTAATTTTTTGTCCTTTGATTAATAATTGATGAGCTAGTCATTATTGTTAACTGCTATAATCATATGTCATACTCTGATTTCATTCTGATCACAATAGTTCGTGTATTATTTTTTTTTCATTCTTTTCAGTTCAGTCATTTTGTCCTTATTGACGGGATACGTTGCATGTTTAACTTCTTTTGATGCAGGCATCGTGTGTTGATGGAAGCAGTGATGATCACTAGGGGGAGTTAGTTGGAAGTAGTTCTTCAATTACCTGTGAGGCTTGTTTATAAGGGAATATGGTTAGCTTTGAACTCATTAAAGATCTATATATTGTTGATTATCAACTAGTCTTGAGCCTGGTTTGGTACTGAGGTGATTCTGAAAAAAGCCGGTATCAAAAAAAGCTGGGAGCTGTTTTTGTGTTTGGTAAACATTCGGCTTTAGTTTTTTTTCACAGTTTTGGGTGAAAAAAAGCCAAAAACAAGAAGCTGCAAAACCCAGCTTTGAAAAACTGGTTTTTTTTTCACATCTGTTTTACATAAAAGTTTATCAAACAGTATAATACTTTTTTTTTTTTTTTTTTCAAAAGCACTATTACAAAAAAGTTTACCAAACACTCTGCTGTTTTATTTCACAGCTGCTTATTCTCATAGCATAGCAGAAGCAGCTTTTTTTTCAAAACACAGCAATACCAAACCAACCTTTGGTCTAGACCCACAATGTGAGTAGTGTATCTTCCCTTTGCACGCTTCTCCTCTTTTTAGATCCAGTGTTAATTGTACCTGTTAATGTTGGTCTCTCATGTATCGCATATGTTATTCCCTCGTGTTTGACAGTACCCTACTTGAAAAAGAAGGAAAAGTGAAGTTGTCGGACAGTTTTGGTTGGTGCTATATATAAAATGTGTGGTGACAAGGTTTGCTAGATTGTTTTGATATCGATTCCCAGATCAAACATGATTGCGTTGTATTTCTGTTGTGTTTTGCAATGTGTGAGATTGGGGAAACCATAAACGAGGTGCTGCGGAGCTGAGATGCGGTTTTTCCTTTGGCTTTACTGGCTGCATATGATTTCGTCTCTCATTCAGCACACAGAAGTGAAAATTGTTTTTCCAATAGATTTTGATAGTCTCTAAGCTAAAGGGTGAGGATGTGGGCTAAACTTCACCATATGCTAGTTATAATATTTGGTTTGAATTTGTTTTTGTTGAGAATTAAACATAAGACCACATGACTAGACTGTAGTACAAATGAAAGGAAATATCATTATACTGTAGTACTAATTAGTAAGAAGTCAAAATTACAAGTCCAGAAAGCAAATGCTGGTACTAAAATAAAACGAGAACATGAAGCCTTTCGGCCCTTGTCATCACAAATCCGCCTTTCTCCCTGGTGTTAGCACCGTGTTCCCATCTGATATGTGTGAGAGAAAGATACATATATTAGGACGTTCTCCAATCATTTTTGCTCATAAGTGCTTTTATTGAAAGTAAAGCAACAAGTTGAAGTTTATTAAAAGTTCAAGTGTTTATTGAATAACACTTGGAAGTGCTTCATAAAGAAGCACATGTTTCTCTACAAAGCACTTTTAAATTCACACACTTTTAAGCTAATCTGTCAAACACACTCATGGATATTTTTTTGTTATTAGAAAGCGTTTTTAGTTATTTTAGAAGAAGTCCCAAATAAACCCTCATCGCCAACCAAATGGCGGATCACTAATTAGCAATACTAGTTAGTTTTGGTTTGCTTCAAGAACAAACGAACTAAAATGTTCCTTTTCTTTCATTAGTTTTGGTTGAAATAACAAATCGATAAACATAAGGGAATCCACAACACAATCATATAGGTGCATCGCTAACTTTCTGATATCATACATGGGTTTGGTTACGCCAAGTTGACTAGGGTACGTGGTGTGCTTGCTTAATTATACCTAGGTCGAATTCCCTTTTTCGTACATTCATTCTCGTAACGAAAAATTCTTAAAAAGTCATGTGATGAATGACGTTTATTTAGTTTTGACCTTTTGTTTATTTCGTGGATGAGTTCATTTGAAATGGATAGTATCATAGTGACCGAGTAGTTGAGATGTTTTCACGAGGAAGAAAATTTTGTAATTGTAATGAAAATGTAAGAACTACTTAGAGTTTCCAAAGGACTTGAAAGGATCAACGTTGACTTTAAGGCACGTATGATCGTGTGTGTGTATATATACGTGGCCTAGGGTGGACGTTGACTCTCGATCGATACCGATCGGCCAACGTACGTCGGAACTTAGACTTTTCTGCATCCTTTCTTTCAGAATGTAAATTACAAACTAATCATTGACATATATGCATATATGCATACATACATGATACATGCATCTCGATCGATACAAAAAAAAAAAAAAAAAAAAAAAAAAAAAAAAAAGAAAGAAAGGAAAGAGATTTGCATTTTACATTTTAGGGCATTAACAGTGGACAGTTTCGGAACTTTCAGGGTGCGTTTGTTGCACTGGACTGTCTCGGACTGAACTAGCTTCAGGAATTAAGTTGGACTGGTTTAGACTAGACTAAGCTAGACTAACTTAGTGAAGCATTTGGTGCAGTATCAGACTAAATAACTAAAATAATATAAAATAATAAGTAAATCTAATCTTTTACTTTTTTTTCTTTTTCTTTTTTTTTTCCCCCATTTTTAAAAAATTCTCCCACTCCCGAAAGCTCTCCATCTTTTTCCCCTGCCCGTCCAACTCCTTCTCACTCTTCCTCTACTTTACCCTTCATCGTCAAACTCCATTCATTTTCACTATTATCAGAAAAAGCCATCTTTTGGATGTTGAAATTGCAGACCATCAAACTCCATTCATTTTCACTATTATCATCAAACTCCACCCTTTTTACAACTCAAGCATTTTTGAAGAATATAATATGGGTTTTGTAATTGATTTTTGTTTTCTGGGTTTTGGTGGGCGCCATGGAATTTGGTGATGGTGTCGTGGCGGATGAAGGCGCGGTTGAGCGGAGGTCGAGCAAGCCGAGGATCTAAGCAGAGGAGAATTGTTGCCTCTCGACTACGAGATCGATGATAAACACGAGATGCACGGCGCCGTGAGTGACGAATCTGCCTGATTTTGGGTTGGAGTTCAAGGCGAGGAGAGAGGAAAGAGAGAGTGAAATAGAGAGTAGGGAGTAGTCTTAACTAGTCCCATGGTTTTCGGGGACTCTCGTTAAGAATCTTTAGTGAAGCCTTTAGTGTAGGCAAGTCCGGCTTAGTCTCATTAACACTAGTCCCAGATAATAACAAATACCAAAGTGGACTAATAGTTAGTCCAGTCTAGTCTAATGACAGTTAATGAGGGCAAACAAACGCCCTGCACAGTCATGGATGGAAGAAAGTTGATACATATATGTTCTTACCGCCAAAAGCGCGCGATCATTTGGATGCATACAAAAAGTCTGTGATCACATCATACGTGTATACATGTATATATAATATATTATATTTCATAATATGAATTGTGACATGTACCTGCCGTGCTTTGACATTCATATATATATTCGAAGATTAGATTTCGGTCCGTACAGGCTACGGCACGCAATAATAATATCTTAGTGCTTTAGGGTTTCTTTTTCTTGAGTGATCAGTAAACTGATGTGGTCTGAGCCTTAGGCTCGATTGGACTTCGTCTTGATCTCTATTAATTAATAAAATATTTATTATTAATTAAAATTTTATAAAATTATCAATTTAATCTTTTAATTAAAACAGAATATGAATAAAAAATATAAGACAGAAATGTAATTTCATATAACTAAATTTTGCTGTTTTTTTTTTTAAAGTCTCACCTACATGTAATCCTAACATATCTCTAATTAAAAAAAAATTAAAAAAAAACTTTCTACTCTCACATTCTCTATCACTCTCTTCCTCTCACCTTCTATTTTAAAAATAAAAATAAAAAAATTTCTCACATGTGTGCCCATATCATATGCTAGTTTATATGATATTCAGTCCCAATCAATTATTCGTACCAATCCTTATTACACTACGACGTACCAATCCTTA